ATCGTTGTCAGTGTACGTGGATGCATCTCGCCCAACTTGGCCCGACCTCGGAAACATATATATATATATTATGTATACACACACACACAGAGACAGACAGACAGACAGACAGACAGACAGACAGACACAGAGACACACACGCACACACACACGCGCGCACACGCCCGCACACGCCCGCACACGCCCGCACACGCCCGCACGCGCCCGCGCACACGCACAGACGCACAGACGCAAGCACGCACACACGCACCCACACACATACATGCATATACACACACACACACACTGACTGCTTTCTCTCGCACATCTGCGATTAACTACGGGCACTGAGTCTTATGCCACATCACCTCCGAAGGCCGCCGGTCGTGGCTGCTTGCGGGTGAGACGCCGTCTCGCTTGGCATTTGCACGCGCGACGAATTATGCGCAAGCGTCTGTAGTACCGGCGGAGCTTGCGGCACATTGTCTCGAGTAGGTGCCCTCACCCATGTGATTTGCAACAATCTCTCAGAGGCACCCGTCCAGCTCTCTCATCTGATCCTGGAATTCGTCTTCGTCCTCGTGCGTGGGAGCTCCTCGGAGTTGTCATATGAGGACTCTCTCCCTCTATCTCTCCTGTCCCCGTCTCTCTCTCTCTCTCTCTCTCTCTCTCTCTCTCTCTCTCCCTCTCTCTGTGTTTTTTTTTAACAGAAGCATCTTAGCAGACAAGGTGCCGCTTGCCAGGTCGAACATGTAATTGTAGAAGTCACCCATCTCCGTCATCCAGTCGTTTCCCTCCGACATCACCTGGCAGTCACATTTTCGAAGTGTCAGCAGGACTGGTTGCTTGCTAGCCAGGCGTCTATCATGCTAAGATCGGGGCCCTGTGTCTACGATCGAGGCCTCACGTACTAGAAGTCTGCGAACTTATAGGGCCACGAGCTTGCAGGCATGTTTCGAGGTCTTACAATTAGTCTTAGTCATCGTCTTGGTCTTTGTATTAATGGTAGTACTTGTAGTAGTCGCAATATTATAAGTCGACTATTACTCATAGTGGTCGTCTTCGTAGTAGTATTCGTATTAACATTATCATCATTATTTTTAGCATGAGTATTAATATTAGTATTAGTATTCGTAGTAAGATTGTTATTAGGGTGGGGACGTCTATTATTGTTACTATTCGTAGTACTGGTAGTAGTCTTAGTAACATGCATAGTATTAGTATCAGTATTTACAGTAATAATCTTTTCGTACCAGTGTTGATATTAATACTAATATTAGCTTCAATAATATTGTAATATTAACTATAGAATCAATACAAGTGACAATATTAATATTAAGACTAAAAATATATTATTGAAATTCGCTTAAGAGTTAGTAATAAAATTAATATTTGTATTCATACTGGATATTGGTAATAATAGTCGCATTCGTGAGACCTTGGGGATGCGTCTGTCCCCCCTCCGGCCGTCTTTTCCTTCTTTAAACAGAAAGCAAAAGCTTTGGGAGCCCTCTGGCCGTCCTCTCCTTCCTTAATAAGCAAGGAACCCTCGGGAATGCGTCTATCCCCTCTGTGGCCGTCCTTTCCTTCCTTAATAAGCAATTAAGAGCTGTAGGAAGCCTCGGGGATGCGTCTGCCCTGCGCCCTCCGGCCGTCCTTTCCGTCTTGAAAAGCAGTTAAAAGCTTTGGGAGCCCTCGGAGATGCGTCTGTCCCCCTCTGGCCGTCCTTTCCTTCCTGAATAAGATGGGGAGCCTCGTGGATGCGTCCCCTTCTGGCCGTCTTTTCCTTCCTTAATAAGCAACTAAGAGCTGTGGGAAGCTTTGGGGATGCGTCTGTCCACCCTATGGCCGTCCTTTCCTTTCTTAATAAGCAATTAAAAGCTGTGGGAAGCCTTGGGGATGCCTCCGTCCCCTCTCCGGCCGTCCTTTCCCTCCTTAGAAAACAATTAAAAGCGTTGGGAGACCTTGGGGATGCCCCTCTCTGGCCGTCCTTTCTTTCTGTAATATGCAATTAAGAGCTATGGGAAGCCTCGGGGGTGCGTCTTGTCTTCCCGTCTGGCCGTCCTTTCCTTCCCGAACACGCTATTAAGAGCTGTGGGAAGCCTTGGGGATGCGTCCTTCTTTAGAAAGTAATTAAACGCTTTGGGAGACCTTGGGGTCCTCTCCTTCAAAGAAAAATCGAATCAACTAAACACTTTGCCTTGGTCGTCCTTTCCCTCCTTCAAAATCAATTAAAGCCGTGGGAAGCCTTGGGGATGCGTCTGTCCACCGCTCTGGCCGTCGATTCCTAGCCGTCCTTTCCTTCTTGAAAATAATTAAAAGCTTTGAGCAAAGCTTTTCAATTTTTATTAAACCTGTATCAAGGCCTTATTAAAAGCCATATCAAGCTCTTCTTAAAGCCTTACTAAAGTCATATTAAGCTCTTATTAAATTGCCCTCGGTCGCCCAATAGTCTCGATTCCGGGTGGGGAAACGGCCCAAATGACACTCCCGAAGATTGAGCTCGCGGACATCCCCGGCAAAGATTGTGAGCCCACTTGCCCGCCCACTGAGCTATGGCCGGCTTGCCGGAAATGCGGGCTTCGGGTAGTATCGTTCCGTCTCTGAGAGTCCTCCAGATGGTACCGAAAGAAAGCCTGAAGAAGGGAAGGAGCATTAATATTCACATTGTTGCTAGTAATAGTATTCATAATTGTTTTAACATCCATATTAAAAACCATGTTTGACAATAGTATTCATATTAGAACAAGCATTAGTACAAGTATTGATATTTATGATTAATACTTATCGTCTGTGTATTAATATTAACTTGAATATGCATATTAAAATTAGTACTATCATCAACATAAGTATTAATCTTGTATGCTTATTAACATTAATATTAGTATTCGTATTCATAGTAATATCAATGTCATTAATAATAGTGCTCGTATTAGTCTTGGTATGATTAATATTAATTTAGGTTTGATTTTGTTATAATATAAATATGAGTATTCGTTTTAATAATAAATCTCCGAAATAGCCAGCCTTTCTGTCCGCGGGGATGCGTCTATCCCCTTCCCTTCCAGCAAAACAATGATAATTCTTGGAAAGCAAAAAGCATCGGAAAACCATGGCGGCGCCTATCACCCTTGGCCGTTCTTTCCCGCATAATATGAACCCACCGCGAGAAATAGCAAAAAAGGTTTAGGATCCTAAACCCCAAAAAAGGCGGAGCTGTCCAAGGGTGGGAGCCGCACTCGACGGCGCGGGTGGGAACATGCGAGATAATGCGGCCGAAGCGAGGTCCCATTCTCGATGGCTTCTGGCGCACTCCGGAACCGAAGCAAAATGTGCTTACCTTGTTCGCCCAGCCGGCAAAAAGCGATATCAATGATCTCTCACAAACCCAAAACCCCAAAACCCCAAAACCCTAAAGCCCTAAAGCCCTAAAACCCTAAACCCTGTAAGCCCTAAGCGCTATAAACCCTATAGCCTTAGTCACTAAACCCTAAAACCCAAAACCCCTAAAGCCCTAAAGCCCTAACCACCCTAAAACCCCAAAACCCTAAAACCCCTAAATAAACCCTCAAACCCCTAAAACCCTAAATAAACCCCCAACTCGGCTCCTGGAATTTCTCCCAGTCCACGTCGCCCTGCAGCGAGGCCCAGCAGATCTCCTGAGCCCCAGGGAGCGGCCGAGGGGCCCCGGCAGAGGTCTCCACTGTTTGGGGTTTTTGGGGTTTAGGGCTTTTTGGGTTTTTTGGGTTTAGGGTTTTTTGGGTTTTTGGTGTTTAGGGTTTTTTGGGTTTTTTGGGTTTTTGGTGTTGTTGGGTTTTTTGGGTTTTTTGGGTTTTTTTTGGGTTTTTTGGGTTTTTTGGGTGTAGAGTTTAAGGGAAAAAGGGTGTAGGGTTCAGGGTGTAGAGCTAGGGTTTGGAGTTTAGGGTTTTACTCCCTGAGAAACCCCTGAATCCTGATGAAACCATATACCCCGAAACCCTCATTCCCGTCATGAAGGCACGTATTTGGAGGATTTCGCTACTTTCAACGTCCAGCAGCTTCACAGTGCGAGTTCAGAATCGTGCTCCGTTTTAAGTCTTAGAGCAGTGGCTTGGGAGTTCAGAGTTCAGAAGGGAGAGGGGCTGCGTGTGGTAAGACTGCGGTTCTGTCAGGGTCTGCTTCATTGCCCTAAATATTTCGCAGATCAGTTCTGAGTTATGATGTCGGTTGCGGGTACCCGAGGTAAAGCATCGCAGACAGAGCTGCGCGTCTTAGCTTCCCTTGTGTCGCACCCCCCTGTGCCGCCAAGCCACATCCACCTTCTCGCCCCATTGCCTGCGACTGCGGAAGCAGGTGGCTGCATGTGAAGCGTGAGCCAAGAATGCACGGAAGCCACGTTGGCCGTTTCGACGGCTGTGGACCCTGAAACCTTGGACAAAAACCCTTTGACCGGAACACTGCCAGCACCATTCAGGCAGGCGCAACCTCTGCACCCGAAGCTGAACAACTGTGCCTTTTTTCGGCACCCCAAACCAAAATCCTCGACTACAGCTACAGGAAAGAGCTCGCCTCCAAACCCACAGCTGACAATAGCCTACGAGAGCCTCAGCTCTCTCACATCCTCTGCTGGCGCCAGAGCAGTGGCTTTTGGAACGCAGGTCAGGATCCAGTCCTCGTCATGTGGCAATTCTGCGGTGTGTTGATGCGTCTGGGTGGAGAGGTCGTTTAGGTTCCCTTCCGGGGTTTCCAACTCTTTTCGCAGGACGCCTTAGGAACTTGGCCACAAGGGGTCTTTTGCAACCCCGCATAAGCAATACCGGCCCATTGAATCAGCCAACCCCATGGGACACTTCGTTCAATCTGAATTGCATGCGACATGCACTGACGGCCTTGCAAAGGACTCGGAGACCTCCGCATCACAGCCCTAAACCCCTCGTCCCTTCAGCCACCAAAGTCAGAACACCTGGGAGCTCCCAGGCTTCCATCCTCCGCAAAGTGCTCAAAAACCCCGAAGCCACCCCCGAAAAGAGCATCGCGACCGCGCAACATCATCCGTGGGTCTCCCTCCCTCCCTCCCTCCCTCCCTCCCTCCCTCCCGTCAACAAAAGTCCCTGCCCGGTGGACATGAAACTGCGGTGCTACGATCATAAGATGGGGACTTGATAAGGACATACTGATGGCTAGCGCGTAGATTCGTCCGAAGCCTCAACCTCCCAAACCCCAAAGCAGTCTAAACCCGCACAGAACCCGGGAATCTCCTGCAGCTCCGGCTGTCGAAACTCCGGCACCTTCATGTCAGCTGACAGCTTTGAAGGGGTCCGGGTCGTTGAGAGGGAAGCGGATCCCGGCCTTGAGGCCTATGTTCGGAACTAGGAGATCTTGTCTTTTCAAAGCCGGGCGGAGCAGGTTTCGGACTGGAAGCCTGGAAGATCCCGAAAATCGGGTCTAAAAGGAACCGAAAAAAATTGAGCTGAATTCTTTAGACGCTGTCTTCATCCGCCTCCTGGAAACCATTAATTTAATGTCAGACTACTGTAATTTCTTTCCGGGCTGTCGCAAGATACTCTGCAGCCCTGGACCTGACTGGAACTGCAAGGGGGGCCTGCTTCTTTTCTCCTGCAAATAGTGAACACAAAAGCATAGTCTGCTAGTTCGCTACTAGTTTAGGGTTTAGGGTGTTGTCCTTGCCCCCATGGTTCCTTGAACCCTAGAACTACGGTTGACGGGGCGCGGTATTTGCCCGACGTCCTGCTTGGCCCCCCAACCAGAAAAACCCCCCCGGTAGAAGCCTCGTGCACTGCGACGTCGTATCGCCCTGCGATGTACCCCAGAAACAGGGGGGCGCCAGGGAGCAGCACCTCAGGTTTCGGCCAGCGGGGATTCAAGTCGAGGTCCTTGGACCCCGCGTCATGAAGAACATGTCTCACATGTCTCCTAAGGATGGTGTTCGCTAGATCTTGGCAGAAGGACTCGGGTTTTGGTGGGGGCCCGAAGTTCTGACTGAAAGGTGGGCCCTCGCAGGCAGCAGTGAACAAATCACCGGAGCCGCTTGGCAGGACATTGAGCCGCGACTGCAGGGACGGTTATCTAACACCAAGGATTTGAGCCCAAAAAAAACCTCAAGCTCGCAACGCCCCACCCCGCCCAACTCACAAAAAGGCAGACAAGATCTCAAGCCCTGAGGCACCCAAGTTACAGAAACCACTCCAGAAGCAGACGAGAGCAGGTCATACTAACTACTTTTTGGAGCCAAAAGAGAGATTCCGAAACCGCTCAACTCCCTGGTTCCCTATGATAGTCCCTTAAGGTCCCCTAATAGTAGTCCCAATAACCCATTCCCCCATTCCCTACTCAGGACCAGGGAGCCAATCCTCATACTACCCTAAACCCTAAACCCTACTTTTTGGAGCCCTTTGGACTTTGAAACCGCTGAATCCTAGGCAGCGCTTGCCCAAGTCCCCCGCGTTGTCTGCGAGGACCCGGGCGTGCCGGCTCCTGGGCTTGGGAAACTCCGCCCCTAAGAAGGAACCCATTTTTAAGACGAAGGGATGTAGGGTTTAGGGTTTCGGGTTTAGGGTTTAGGGTTTTGGGTTTAGGGTTGAGGATGAAGCAAAAGTGAAGGGATTCTTGGCACCATGAAGGAGAACCCTCGTAAGGATGAAGCAAAGATGAAGGATTTCATGTATCCAGTACAGTAAAGACCCCCCTACACCCTGAACCACAAGTTGATGCATGATGATGATTAAGATGATGTCCGGAAAAGGGATATATCAGTTGTATACGCAGGATTTATGGGGCCTGGCTTGGGGATGCACAGATGTAGAAGCAAGGCTTTGTTGGAAACGTACCCTATTTGACGCTTCTCACAGAGGTCGCAACTTTCAACTCTGTCAAGTCGGCCGCGGCTCAAGTGGGGCTCGGCCGCCTTGAGATCCTCCTGCCATGGGAAACTTCCAGCAAGGAGAAGGGGAGGGGAGGGGAGGGGAGGGGAGGGGGAGGGGAGGGAATTTCACGGTCAACAAGCGCCGTCTACTGCTTACTACCCCACCCACACAATAGCTAGCGATGCCTGGTAGACGGTGCCACGGTGGTCCAGGAGAAGCACATCGATTTCTCCAAGCCTCGACATTTCGGATTGTGCTGCAACTTCTCTGCACTCCTTCCTGGTCGCTGGGCACCTACGAGACGAAGGGTTCCGGGGTGACGTGACTTTCTGCGAATTACTGCTCAGCCAAAAACCTCAGCTGGTGCGTAGCATCGGCAACGGATGGAAGCAGCACAAACCCTGAGACCGCGACTGGCCACTGGCAAGCCAATCACCGGCGATGCCGATTTTCAACTCGACCTCGGAACCTTTGGCAAGCAGACAAAGCGCACACATCCGTGACTGCCCAAGTGCGTGCCGAATTTTCTAACCACTCCCAAGAGACGGGAACGAGAACCCGAAAACACCACGCGAAGCCAGATTTAGCCAACCTGCGCACAGCACACTCTGCAGAACATGATGCACAGACGTTGAAGAGGGCTCGCTAGCTCGAGCGAAGTGAAGGCAACATAGTCATCTACATCCGATGTGCTCACGAAGAGATGTCCTCCAATCTCGGTAGGGCTCCTCCCCAAACCCGGAACCCCCAAACCCAGATGGATTTGGGCAGCAGGTCTGCAGGCAGGTCTGTAGGCCCCAGAAGAGTGCCTTCGGAGACCTCTCCCTTCTGAGGCCCGCACCGGGCACGCCGGCCCAGGCCAGGAGCTCCCTGGCGAAGGGCCAGGTCTGCACGTTGACGTCGCAGGAGGTCACGTGGCCGCCCCCGCCTCCGCGCCGCGCACTTTCCGCGCCTACTTTTTTCCGTCTTCCCCCAGAAAGTGCAACTCGGGCGTCGGGCAAGCAAGAAGATTACGTACTCGGAATCTGTGTAACCCCCAACATCATCACGCCTGCAGCTAGCATCCGTAGCATCATTGCACGTCATGATTTTTCGGGGGGGGGGCCTTTCGAGTTGAGGATTGGCAGATTAGGTGCGCTGATTGGGAACATGCTCGTCTTCAAGCCGAAGTTGAGGCTCCGGAGCTTCGGGTCTTCAGGGGCGATCCGTGGACACAGCACCCGCACGAGATGCACCCCACATCCCATGCGGGTGAAGAGCAAGCATGGGACGTGGCGCCTAACTCGCGCAGCCGCGATGCCAGCAGCATGGCCGAATATCCCATGTACCTGCTCTTTCAGAGCTTGAGAGTTAAGGTTGAAAGGGCTGCTGGTCTAGGATGCGGTCACGGGGAGCTTGTTTATCGCTATGGTCATGCTTTCTGGCTGCTGGCACCTTGACTGTCGATGTTGCTAGACAGACAGCGCTTTTCTTGTTCCTAGTCATCACCTGCTTTCCGATTCCGATTGCTATCACAAGCATCAATCTTTTGTTTCCTCTTAACCATTCGCTTCCATTCCTCTTACCGCTAGGATTCCCGAATATCTTCTCCTAACTTCCCCAGGGGTCTCCTCAAGGCCTAGCTGGGCCCTCTTGGGTCTCCTCAAGGCCCCCAGGCAGCGTAGCTGAGGCGGGGGCGTTCCAAACTCAACCACGCGATCTCCAGGTCGCAGGCTGCCCTGCTTCTGTAGGGGTCCAAAAGAACGGGAGGGGGCCCGTTCCAACACGCCAATGAATCGTTTGTAGTGCTCTGAAAAGGCCAGGCCGGGTTTTACCATGATGCAGAGCTTTGAAAGGGTTTTTCCAGTCTTTTCCTAAAGAGGCCGCAAAGAAAAACATAGAACACAGGGTCGAATGTGTTTCCACAGGGTGTTGCAGGGCACTAAAGGATAAGAGTGAGGCCTCGGGTTCTTACGAGGTGAAACTCACAACCCCGCTCGACATAGGAACCCTGAGCCAGCAAACCTGAGCCGGGCCCTTCTAAACCATTTCTTGCGACCTTGAGCAGCGCCGCCTTGCGACCGCCTGCCACCTGCAGGAACCCACCAAGGGCTCTGAGGAGCGGTTTGGCGTGGGAGGGAGCTTTTTTTCGCCAAGGATCAGGGGATCTGGCAAGTACGGAAAGTCGGGCAACCCTAGTTACAGCTACTTGCAACCCTTGATCCAACCTTGTTTAAGGAGACGGCGCCTGTAC